AGCGGACTCTGTCTCTTTTGACCCTGTGCATATCTTGTCACCTGATGTCCAGTCCTTGGGATATATACCTGAAGACATGCAGATTTGGGTTTGTTAGTTCTTGGATCACCGTGAGCCAGCAGAGGCTTCCAGCCTGCTGCCTGACCTGCAGATTTGGGACTTGCCAGTCCCCACAACTGACCGAGCCATTTCCTGGATACCCCATTTCATTAAAGTAAATCTCTTTCTGTTTTTAAATATATACTTACTTGGTTTTGTTCTTTTATGAAGTGTTTCAGGACACAATAAGTTAGCAAGAGCTGTTTCTTACAGGGCACATATCCTTCTGCTGTCAGTGGCATGACTTTGCTCTAAGATGGTTGGGGCCTGTGTTGTGATACTCCCATTGTAGCGAATCATAAACCCCATACTTCATCTTTCCCCCCTTCATCTTAGCCCAAAGAACAGAGCTGATTTCAGTATAGCTGGCTAAACAAACAAAGAATGCATTGGGAATTATTAAGATTTTCAATAAGCTTAAATGTATTTCATTTTATGATTTTAGTGTGATTTGCCCTGGTTTTGGGTTTTTAGCAGTGAAAATCAAAATAAATTATTAGCGTGCGATTTCAGGCCCAAGAATAGGAATGTTTGTTAAAGAGTAACTATACTGAAACTTATTCCATGGGGTCCCAGAGATAAATGGTTGTGTTGCATGTCACTGTTTATTGGATTACTCCGGGCATGAGGGCACACTGCTCATCAGAGCAGGAAAGCGCATGAAGAGAAACATGGCATTTGTTAACTCATATCCCTGAGCCTGGTTTCAATATTCCCATGTTCCGTCCCCAGACCTCCCCCTTTTTCAGTTCTATGAAAAATCTCCTCTCTTCTCCGTTCAGGGATGTAGTTTGAGAAAGCATGTTCTCTGTCTCCCCGATCTTGCAGTAAAACTCTTTCTCTTTGTCAAAGCACATGTCTGAGTATTTTGGCTTGACTTGGGGACAGGCAGACCAAACTCAAACTCACTGCCTTAGCGCCGTCACTGGCTCACAGCGATCCTATAGGACAGGGTAGAATGGCCCTGGTGAGTTTTCCAGACTGTAACTATTAACAGGGATAGAATGCCCTGTGCTTCTCCCATAGAGCGGCTGGTGGTTTTGAATGGCTGACCTTGTGGATCACAGCCTAATGCATAGCCAGTACACCACCAGGGCTCCCTCTTGGAGACAGGCTGAGTCAGGATTTTCTCGTTACCCCTGGACCTATGTACTGCCCTGTTCTCCTTGCCCCACTCACAACGGATAGCTCTCTTTTTTACCTGGAAAATAGGCCAGAGGAATTTTCTAGGTGTGAGAGGTGTTGCCTTCTGTACCTGAAAAGGTCGACCAGACTCTGTGCTTCCTTCGTCTTCCAGGTGAACTTGGAAGCAGATCCTTCATCTTCTGTCGAATCTTCAGATGACCATAGCCCTGGCCAATAACCCCACTACAACCGCCTGGGAGCCTCTCAGCCAGATTCTAAGGGTGCCCTGCTTCCCAACCCTTGAGAACAATGAATCATACATGTTTGTTGTTCTAAGCTGCTATGTTTTGAGATGATTTGTTATGCAATTATAAGTGGCTAAGAAGGGTCTTACAGTTTTTTTAATTCACCTCAGCCCTTGCCAAGTGTCTGCCATTTGTCATTCTCATCACATTGACGCCAGTTCTTAGTGTCTCTGAGGACAGAGTAGAACTGAGTTTCCACGTCTGTAACTCTTCGCGGGAGTAGAAAGCCCCACTTTTCTCGAGAGGAGGAGCGCTGGCTTAGATCTTGCTAAGAATACCTCTATGCTTAGAAAACGCTGTAGTTCATTATTGGGTTTTTTAAACTGCCATATATACTCAAGTATAAGCCGAGTTGTTCAGCACGTTTTAAATGCAGTTTTTGTGGTCAAATTAGGTGCCTCGGCAGATATTCGCGTCGGCTTATATTCGAGCATATGCGGTTTTTAAAACACGACTGCATTTCTTAAGGGGGGAGATAAATGAGATGTAATTTCAGCATGTTATTAGGAGAATGTCCATATTTCAAATAAACTTGGATTAGTCAACAGGCCTGGTAGCTTCGGAAACCACTAGTCAAATACAGATAAATGTTGTAAGTATAAATTTGACCAGTTAGTGATAAGTCTCAGTAAAAGACTCCATTTTTAGAATGAAAAAAAAAGCCAAATAGAATAACTAGAGACTAATGATCCTATATGTGTTTTTCATCTGTTATAGTTTCAAGTCTTTAAAATGAAAAAAAAATTAATTGCCCCCATACAATCTATATTTTTTATTTCTAATATAGCACTTTAAATCTGAAAAAAGAATATGGCAAGCAAACATTTTTACATCCTAAAAACAGTATTGTAAGAAATGAAGGACTTGAACAAGTCTGAAAAATACGTTTTATTACAAAAATTGAATATAATTCAGAATTCCACTGAGAATAAAGTCAGGACCTTTTCCACTGTATTGACTCACGAGGGAACAAGTCAGGAAAACAGTCCACACTCTTGGTTGATGCAGATGGACTCTTCCCTCAAGAATCTAGCACGTGTGGTCCCGTCTGTTATTCTCCTGATGTGGCTCCTTTCTTTGGCAGGACAGAGAAGCAGACACACAAGTTGTGGGTGGGCTGCTCTACGGAATAAAGTGGACTAAGAGAGAATGTGTGAATAAGGGAGCAGGGAAGAAGCAGATGACCGCAAGCGGGGATCTACATGCAAGAGACAACGTTCCTAGATGGTGAGATTCCCCTATTTTCCAAAGGAAAAATGCCTTGAGAAATCAATTCCATTCCTTCATCTCTACAGTCACAGCCAAATAATCCCGTAAGAAAGAGGAAATGACTTTAATGTTCTTGAGCACCCCTCCCCCATCTTCTTCAAGGAGATAGAATGTGATTAAAAATAGACAGCTTCATTATGTGTAAAGTCCTCCCCTCTTCTCCCCTCATCATCTGCCATCGAGGTGATTCTAATCGAGGGTTTCCAAGACTGTGATCTTGATAGGGTTTCTGAGACTGTGATCTGAGACTGTGGAGCGGAGGATGGTTTTGAACTGCCGATCTTGTGGTTGCAGTTAGTACCTACCCTATGGCACACCAGGGCCCCTTCTACCCTTATCTTTATTAAAAACCCAGGGTTATAGTGACCCTATAGAACAGGGCAGAACTGACCATAAGTTTCTGAGACTGTAACTGTTCATGGAAAGAGAAAGCCTCATCTTTCTCCTGTGGAATGGCTGGTGGTTTCGAAAAGCTGACCTTTTGGATTGCAAGGCAACACATAGCCTCCGAGCCACCAGGACTCCCAATCTCTATCATTCTAGATAAATGTATTTCCTCTGTAAAAATGGAGCATCAACCGATGGGAGCATATACTTCAGCATACGCTCCTGTCCTCCCAGGCACACCCTTGCTGTTGGGTGCCATCCCATCAAATGTGACTCAGAGTGAACTACAGACCTAGCCCATAGAATATCTAGGCTACAATCTTCATGGAAACCAATTGCCACATCTTTCACCCACTGGGCTGCTGGGTGGACTAGAGCCACCAGCCTCCTTTGGTCATCAGCTCACTGCCTAGCGATCACACCACCACGATTCCCGGTCGGTGACTAACCCAATGCTGTAACATTGATTCAGAGCGACCCTACAGGACAGAGAACTGTCCCACAGGGTTTTCAAGGCTGTTTACGGAATCCGAGTGTTACATTAACCCTCCTTGGGAGCTGGTCAGTAGTTGAGCACTTAACCTCTGTGCTATGGGGCTGGAGTGGGTTAGGCTTCTAAGTGCAAGGTCAGCAGTTCCAACCGACCAGTGCGTCACTCCAGGGGGAAAAGATGAGGCTTTCTGCTCCATAAACAGGTCTAGCCTCGTATAACACACAGGGGCAGTTCTACCCTACCCTGGAGTGTCACTTTGAGTCGGGATCTGACTCCCTGGGTGTGTTTTGATTTTCTTTTGCTTTCTGAGCTACGGAGAAATGTCCAGGGCCTCAGAGCTGACCAATGTGAATTTGCATTCTGGTGCTTCCATCTGCGGGCTGAGTGGCACTGAGTGGTTCAAAAACCTTACGCCTGAGCTGATACATTTTATAAATTTATCAAGTTTATAAACTTTATACAGTTGACCAATTGGGAGAATTAAGTGAAATGTATATATACTGTTTAGCCAACATTTCAATAGATCAGGGCCACTAGCACTGTCCCTGGTGGCGTAGTGGTTGCGCATTGGGCTGTGAAGCGCAAGGTCAACAGTTTGAAATCACCAACAGCTCCTCCGGAGGAAGGGGAGGCTTTCTTTCTTCTCCCAGGAAGAGTTAGTCTCAGAAACCCCCGGGGGGCAGTCCCCCCCCGCCCCCCATGGGGCGGCTGTGGGTTAAAAAATAAAGTTTTTATTTTCTGAGCACTGTTTCTTGCTCATTACTGGAGCCTGCAATGGCAGTCACCTGATCCGCAGTCTGTAGGGATTCTGGAACCGAAGTCAAGACACCAGATGCAAACTGCTCTGCTCGCTGGGTCCACGTTAAAAAATCCACCGCCAATAAAACACGCCATCCTGTGCTATGTTGGGCTACTTTGGAGGATTTTGAAAAATAAAAAAGGTTTAAAGTAGACAAGGAAGGCATTGTATCACCAGGCGGATGAACCTTGCATAAAGCAGACAGTAAAAAGCACTCTCCTGGTGTTAGAGTGGTGTCTCGTTGGGCTGAGATTTGCACAGTCAGCAGTTTAAAACCCCAAGCAGCTCCTCAGGAGAAAGGCTGGGCTTTCTGGTCCCACACGCAGTTACAGGCTTGGAAATCCACTAAGAGTCAGCAGAGTGAGTTTTACAAAGCGGAGGCATACTTTACAATGAGAAAGCCCAAGGTCAGATCCAACCCCCAAGGCAAACACAGGTAACATTAATGACAATCAACATGTTGACCCATAATTTGGAGACATGTGGCACTTTACACAGATTGTGTTACAGATCTTAGACCACGTTGAACAGTTAAAATATTCTGAAGGAAACCTGAGCAATCCCTTAATCAACTCACTAAAGTTTTCATAAAACAAACAGAAAGGGCGCTGCTTGGACTTAAATCAGAACCGGCTCTATTATTATGCAGGAGGGTGGTCACATGGCTGGAAGAGCCCGCACTTCAAGGGACATGCCCAGCATCTGGGAGCGATGAAAAGAATTCCCGAACACCAATACTTTGTTTTTCCCCTGGGCACCCATCAGATTCTCTGGTATCCGGATGATTTGCGACTCAGGCGGATTCCGTAGACAATCAAACCCACAGCACAGAGGCTCAGCACCACGGTGCCGATCACAGGAAGCACGACCGTGTAGTCAGACGAACACTCGTCCACTAAGAGAGAAAACAGGACAGAGGTAAGCGGGGGTGGGGACAGACCGGAAAGCAGGCCAGCCTGGCAAGAATGCAAGCTTTGGAGTTCAGCAAATCTGGACTTGAGTTTTAATTCTACTACGATCTAGCTGTGTGACTTCGGGACCGTTATTGCACCTGGCAATTCCTTTATTGATCCCGGAAGCAGATCACAGAGAGGCCCGTTGGCAGATTAAATAAGACAACTTTCCTCAGGTGTGGCTATGGTTGTTAGCTGCCAAGACGTACTTGTGGCCCCATGCAACAGCGAAGACCTGCCTCCAGAGGGTTTGCAGCACTTTCGGAAGATCACCAGGCCTGACCTTTGAGAAGCCTCTCAGTGGGTTTGAGCGTTGTTTCGAGCTTAGGTTCTGAGTTCCTGGCTCACCAAAGATGGTGCGATTTACAGTGGGAGCCCCACCTCCGTTTTGAATCTTGACTTAAATTCAGCCTCCTGTGAGTTCTTTCTATTAACCTGCGATGTAATAATAAGCTTCGCCCTCAGGGAGAATATGTTTGCAAGTAGATCACAATTCTCCTTGTCAGCCCAGGGAAGGACAATCTCTCCCTGAAAGACTTGCCTGGGCATGCCCGTAATGGAAATTGGAGTATAAGGGCCACACATCCTGGTCATGCCCCAACCAAGGTGGTGGTGGTGGTGGTGGTGGTGGTGGTGG